TGTCTAAAATATCAGGAAGAAAAATCTTCTCATTTGATTTTGATGAGGAAATCAATGCTAATATGTGCTTTACTACCAACTGGTCCAGCAGAAACCCCCAAGTTCAGTGCGCTCCTTAGCAATGCTCCAGGGATGAATTTATCCTCTCCTGTCCTGTCGGTCAGTAATGGTAGGGTAGCGAAAGTAATGCTGGGCTACAAACAGCCTCTCTCATATTCTGAGGGGAAAAAAATAGAACAAAAGGAAAAAAAATCCTTTTTATATACAAATGATTTTAGTGTAGCATGGCCTGTTCTACTGAGCTGACATTCCTTTCTAACATTCATGTCGAAACAGAGTTAAGTAAAGATTCATGTCGTAGTGGTGACAGGAGGAGTTGTTATACAAGATGTAAAGTTTCCCTTGGATTTCATGTCATGATTTTTTCTCATTATTTAAACAAGAACTACATTGAAGTGGTGCAGGTACCAGGCAATAAAGATTTCCCTTGGTGCTGACAAACGCTGAGACCGCAAGCGGAGGTGCTTACATGCCGCAAGAGATATTGCATAGTGTTCTTTTCCATTAAGGCCAGGGATTGCTGTCACAAAGGAAACATCTTTATATAAGAACTTCTAACATATAAAAAATGTTTATTTCTCATTATGTTTGATTTTTTTTCAGTTTCATATGGAAAGAGATTCGAAGAAGGCAGCGTTGAGCCTGCCATAGATAGTAAACAGTTCTTGGAATTGCTTCAAGTATTTCCATAGTAATTCTGCTTTACTGTTTAGTAATACCTCAGTACAACAATATAAGAGTRTGTTGTTTGCTAGAAATAAAATAAGAGGCAATATTTGTTTTGTGGAGAGATCAGATATCACTTTTAAAAGTGATACATGAGATCTCTTAATACATGAGATAGCTACATATTGGATTCACAGGCAGTTTATCAAGCCCATTTGTGCGGGCTGTGGCAAGTGAAAATTGTTTCTGTGGCAATGAGTTGTTAAAATATAAAGCTAAGGAGGAAAAGAGTTCTGCTGGAATGCAGCAGTTCAGGTGGGGGTCACGAGCATGGGAGTTGAGGTGCACATAATGTGTTAATTGAGAGAGGAAAAATTGGAGACAGGACTTGATTTAGAGCAGTCGTGGGCTGTACCTAGGAAGCAAGCACGAGCACCAAGCCTCCTGCCAGCGCATCCCAAATAGCATTGAACTGACGTGTGGACAGCAGTTGGAGGATGCAGGCTCTAGCTGTTYGGACTAGTGATAGCTCTTATTCTTGCTGCCTTCCCAAAATACCTGTAAGACAATGATATGAACAAGGAGTTTCACTCCTTTCAATAATATGACATACGGGATGAGGTTCTGCTGATAGGGAGTTTGAACAATGGGGTTCCCATTAAAGAATCAAAAATTTTGAAGCCGCACTCCTGCAAAGATGTCTGTAACAAAGTTTAGTAAAGTGCAAGCAAGAATTTTTCTTAGTGAACTCATTTTTTTTTTTGTTTCATGAAAAATTCTGATTAAAAGTCCCTCTGTGAGCAGTTCTGACACTGTCRCATTTATTAGTTTATTTTTTAGTTTTCTGTTTAATAATATGTTTCCCAAAATGCAAAAGGATAACARGAATCATGTGAAAATCCTTATCCTAAAGGCCAAAAAAAGTTATCCTAAGAGAAGAACTTATCCTAAAAGTTCTCTTTGAAAGAGAACTTATTTTCAGATAAAATAGTTTGGCCATATTGAATGACAGGCTATCCAGCATAGATGCCTTTCTGATAAGCCTGATCACTGCATAAACATTTACTAAATGCATTGCAATTTTTCAAGAGAAATATCTGGAAAGAGCAAAGACACAGAAATAGGCATAGACAGACTGAAGTGATAGATGAGGTAACTGCCACTGTATTTCCCATCTCTGTTGCATAATAAACAATCTTTTGGAAGTAGGTTGCTGCTATATCACATTTAGTTTTGTTACAAGACAATTCTTACAAAGTTCAGCCTTTCACTGTGATTTCAGCAGTTTACTATTTGTCTTACGTGATAGGGTCAGAAATCACAGAATTTTGCCTGGTAAAAATTGTTTTACAATCCTAGCCTTGACAATTTACTCTGGTGAAAATTCTGTTTGTAAAAGCTTTGCCTATGTTAAGATGGACAAATGTACAAAAAATCAAGAAAATTCAAAAAAAAAAATGCTTTTTTTTTTTGGCTATGCAGTGCTGCATGAGCCTTGTAAAACCAGATTTACAGCTTGATATTTTTCTGCTGGTTGCAATGGGTTCATGTATAAAATGTACTTTCTTTTGGTACCAAGAGTTTTCCACTGAAAACAGTTTTTCTACTGCAGGAACGTACAAGATATGTAGAAATAAAGTCCTGTAGTTGTAACTGTTATCTCAGGTGATATTTTCACCAGTAAGCGCCTCATTTCTCTTCAATGGACATAACTCTTCCTGAATAACGAATAGACATATTTGAATGATGAATAGACGTATTAAGGCATCAATCACTGATGATGATGCAGGGAAGATATTTCAGAAGACTTGCTAATGGCATCACTCAGAAAAAGAATATTTTGTGGGATAGGACCATATTAATTGATGAGTGAGACTTCATTTTCCAAAAGAAAATGCTGCCGCTAGTATTAGTCAAAAGTACTTATTTAGAATTTTACTCAGGTTGCTATGGCCCCTCAAGGAGGCTCAATATGATGAATACACACACACCTATGTACTCAGCATACTTATGTATAAGAGGGAGTTCCAAAAGATTGATTTTAATTAGAAAAATATAATTTCAATCAACTGGATATTGAAGACTTTAAAGACCTTTTTTTTTCTGAAAATGTTTTATTGTAATTTRCCTGTAGACTAAAAGTGAAGACTGCCATCATTGGTGTTTCCCTGCTCTCCTTGAGCAGGTTTGGTTTATTTTCACAAAATKTGTTTAATTATTGATTCAAAAATATATCAAAACCAGGTAGATCAAAGTTAGGTGTGGTCTAATAGATAAATCACTGCTCTTTCAGGYGCTGGGCTGCATTTCTGACCAGGACATTTCACTCAGATTAGATTTAGTGATCACATCTCAAATAGTTTAAAACAGTGGGATTTTCTGCTTGAGAGGAGAAGGAAATGGAGCTAACATGAATGACAAATGGTTTCTCACCTTTWGGTGGTCTTTTCAGGCTTGAAGTTATTTTGAATCAGAACTGAAAAATACAAATGGTCCTACTTTAGTTGTCCTTGGCTTCTGAGTTAAACAAAACAAAACAAACTTTTCCTAGTGTTCTGGTTTTCAAGACAGCATGTGTAGGACTTTGAGACAGACACTGCAAATGTTAGGCTTCTCTCTGTCTGAGGAGGCTGCTCATTTCTATACTGCTTTAATTATAGAAATGTTCTTCTCAAAGAAACTCATGTTCTGTCTATGTGTTAGAAATGCTATTATTGAAGAAAAATGCATGTAAGTTTGCTGTTCTTCTTTTCACAATATTTGTCTGAATTTTAGGGAATTCAGGGAATTTAGGGAATATATCTGAAAAATATCTGAAAAATATCCTTCTTGAGCCTAGATCTCTTTTTACTTTCATAAGCRTGAGTTTAAACAGAAATGGAACTGGCATGTCTGATGACCTTATTTTGTAAATCTTGCATAAACAAAAATCCTTGTATAGTTTATTGAGATGAATGGGCTTGTTCTTATGAATAATGACTGTATGCCTATCGACTTAATTTGTTATGTGCCAACTTTACCTCAGCTATTATCCTATAGTATAATATATCACCCATTTCAGCATCCTGAATATTATAATTACTTACTAGGTATAGCAAAGGACAAAGCTTATTTCTTGTAGTCTAATACTTTACTTATACATACATGTTTTAATTGCAAGACATTATTGCCATAATAATCAGACTTGGCAAAMATGAAATGTTAGAATACAGTCCTGAACACAGGATTATTTCATTCAGATAGTGACTGTGTTTATTTGTGAATTATGTTTTTGTGATTGGGATAAAGCCATACTTACATTGTCATTAAAACTGTATCTGAGCACTGTCCACACAGCAATGTTAATTAAGCTTGGCTAGATACATGCATGCACAAGCTCCTACCAAGCTAGACCAAGCCCAAGATTTGAAGTCAATCCTGGCTTACTGCTAGCTCTATAATACATGAGAAGGCATAATTTAGCATAAACCCCAGTGATGCAAAGTTACCCCAGGGTTTTCTCTAAATGCCTGATTAATCAGGGTGAGCAATCAACATACTCTGTCATTTATGATCTGATACTGAAATATCTGGATTTCCTGTCTTGAAACATTGTCTTAGGTCATAGCTCCAACATACCTTTATGTAGAGCTATGCTGCCTCAACTACTTTCTCCTTATGCCTCTGCCTCTTACCAGTCTTACAGTTTGTGGCAGTATGTTGGATTAAATTAAGGAATTGATCTAGTTAAATAATGGGGGAAAAAAAAACAACAATTTGCATCAGTTCCCTAATCAGTTTATTATTATTATTATTACTCCACTTACAGTGGGATAAAGAAAGGATATTTGTAGAAGAAACATACAGTTCAAAGTACTGTRATAGGAAAGAGAGTTTTTAGATCAATACCATCCCTTTTGCTGACATAACATGTTTATAGAAATAGGATATTAGTATTGCACATGATCATAAGCAGTACCAGTGGATACAGGTAAAAAATATGAGTGATTAGGACTGTAAGGAAACATGAACTCATTATAAAAATATTAAGAAAGTGTTTTGTTGGATCAAAAAAAATCATTTTTCATCTCACATTTTACTYCATTTTTCTTTTCTCATGAAAGTTCTTCTGTTGGGGACTCAGTGCAGTGGTTTGGCAAAAAGAAAAATACATTTATGCAGTCCTGTACAGGAGATAAACATCCTCTTTCCCCTTTATGCCCATCCTTCACATATTTTTCCCTTCTTGATTTTTACAGTATTCTTAACTAAATTTAGAGATTTTTTTTTTTAAGGTTATCACCAACCTTGGGCCTCTGGAGCTCATTCTTAATACTCCAAGTCATCACCGAGTCCATCATGGTAAGCAGAATATGACGTCTAATTCCTCAATGCACTTTTTCTTAAGATACTGTAATAATAAAGTTAAAATGAGATTTGTATTTTAATTTTATTGCAGGATTTCTAGTTTCATCTTTGCTACAGAAAAAAATGCTCATTGTTCTGTTCAAAGAACATTTGTAAGAAAAATGCTTTTCCATAAATTGATTTTAATTTTTAAACTTCAATATTTGAGCTTAGTAATTGGGCAGAGATCAAACTTGGAGAATGGAAATAATTCACAGCTTTTGAGCAAAACTTCAATATTTGTAAATATGAAGAGCGATAGGAAAATATATCATCCTTCCCTGATTGATAAAATATAATAAGTTTGCCAATCTTTAACAGATGCTTTTGCCTTCAAATTCAAGCAGTGAATGTGGTTTTCCTTTCAAAGAAGAGCTATTAAATGTTTTAGTGGAATTTGGTTTCAATTGAATAAATTATTGAAAAATCTCACTTTGCACCTGTACATTATGACTGATAGGACTTTTCATCAATATTCAGAGGCAATAAAGACTGTGCTGCGTATCTAAATTGGGTTAAGAATTCCACTGCATTGTGAAAAATGTCATGAAATTCATGGCAAATAAAATTTGGCTCCATAGATGCTATTGGCTTATTCAGTGGGCATCTTGTAAAGAGCAAAGATAACAAGTAAAAAAGCAATAGGGAGATGGAGGTAATTTGAAACAGACTCAAATACAGTTATATGTTCAGAGGATGTTATTAATATTTATTATATCCTCCATGTGTAAAGTGTTTATGGCACTGTGTAGGCTTTTTAAAAGGGCTGGGGTGCTGTAAGTGTCTAATCCTTAAAATTTGCACAAGTACTGGTAATCCTGGAGGGAGACACTCTGCTCTTATTTGCTGTCCTGTAAATCCAAAGTAATCCTCCTAGCTTGATCCTCATCTGAGTTGTGCAGAATCACTCCAGAGCTGATCAAGTGTTGGACAGAATTGCTCCAGAGAAATTCTGCGATCTTTGCAACRTATAATCAATGTTTTTTTTAAACTCACATTGCTGATAGAACAGTTCATATTCAAGTATGTTTCCCATAAAGTAGATAGACGGATCAATTTTCCTCATGTTGAAGTTAATAGTAATGAAGGTAGGATCAGACATATGGCACAGAGGACATGCAAAGACAGCTGAAAGCCATAACGAGAAGATTGTGCATAAATGTATTTGACGTATATTTTGTTAGGTATAAATTGGTTCATCTGATCTGATTTTTATTCTTTGCTTTTTAATATTTCTTTATAAATACATCATAGCTAACAACTCTTCAATGAATCCTTTAATTTTATGGAAAATTTGAGAATAACAAATTTGATTTGCATACTCATACTTGAATAGTAAGAGACTAATAAGCATAGTACAAGAGATTTTGTAGGTAGCTAGGAAGTAGCATGCAATATCATTATACTACAGTGAAGATTCAACTTCATAGTTCAGTTGCATTTTCTAGCATTCATATAGACATTTTTATATATGCAATTACTGATCTCTAAATGATTTTATTATAGGAAGAAATCCTTATTGCATTGACAAAAATTATGGTGGCACACTTATTATTTGGGACAGGATATTTGGTAAGTCAAAGAAAAAGAAATTTTCCCTTATAATTAGTTTGTGTGGTGAACAAAAGTTCTTGATTCGATTGCTCTTTTTTTGTTGTTGTTTTGTTTTTCTTTCATCAGGAACATTTGAGGCAGAAGATGCTAAAGTTGTCTATGGGTTAACGCATCCAGTAAATTCATTTGAGCCGATCCTGCTTCAGGTACTATAGTTTGTTTCAGGGACTCTGGCATCTTCAACAGGCGCCCATGTTAAAATAAAACCCATATATGCTAGGCAAAGAGCAAAGACAAAGATAAAAAAAGTGGAAAATAGTATTTAGTGTGGTGGATGGGTTAGGTTTCTTTGTCCTTTGGCTTCACTTCAACTAAAGAAAAATTCTCTGTAAAGACCTCAAATACTGAGAAATATTGCAATCCCATTTGTTTTTCATAGCTGTTCACTCAAGCAATTATTACAAAGAATGAGAAATCCTGCCTGAAAGGTGCCTGAGCTACTACAGGGAAGGATGGCTACGGGTTCTGTACAAGTATATCCATAYTAGTCAGAAACTGGATAATCTAGGTATTAGGTATTGATAGTGTGTCAAGACCCCAATTACCAAATTTAGTTTAGAAAATAAGTATAACTGTACAAAACACTGTTAAATCTCTGGACTGATTTCAGGAGAGACTAATTTTGCTTTGGTTAGATGTCACCATAATCCTCCCTATAAAAAAAAGGGCTTGATAAGGCTTCTGCCTAGTTCAGTTGAGTTTTCTGAACTTCTAACTGTCTTCATTTCCTTTTAATTTGTAACAGACTTTAAAAAACATTTACTTGAAAGGTAAGAAGAGAGTAAAATATAATGTTTTACTGAATTTTATTTTACTAACAATGAAAAATTACTTGCTCTTTTTTCAGTTACGTCCCCTGGCTCATATTTGGAACATGTTTTGGGCCACACCTGGATTCTGCAATAAGCTTTCTGTCTTATTCAAAGGGCCAGGCTGGGGACCAGGCAAACCTAGACTTGGCCTTCCTGAGGAAATCCCAGTGGTAAATAGAACATGCAGAGGCTTCAGTTTTATGTAATTTACTTGGACCTCTTAATGCTACTGGATCAATGTAAAAAACTCTACACGTGCTATTTTAAATTAGCAAATTAGCAGTCATAAAACGTAGGGGAAGATGAAATGAGAACAGAAACTGAAGGAAATGAGTGTTTTAGCCGTGTTTTTCTTCTTTAGCTTAAGGAAAAATATGAATTCATCATTCATTTCTTTAAAGAAATTTTCAGAACTGTACTCTAAATTTTTTCTTTTTTTATCTTTTAGCTGTGAATTTCATTCTTTCAGCATGTATATGTTTAATGACATATGATCTTTGCGCAATTACTTGCATGCCTTAATCTTGTTTGTATTTGCAATTATAAAGAACACTAAGGAATAACAGACAAGAGCAAGTCAGTATTGAAGACTGTTTCCTCTTTTGTTTTATACAGATTACTGGAAAAGAAGTTCCATACAATCCAAGTGTTCCTGCATATCTTAATTGCTATGCAGTTGTACATTTTACTATAATAATGGACTTGTATATTGACCTGCTTGCTACAGTGAGTGTAAGTAATCCTTGCCTTTATGAGATTGCTAAATGCAAGTATTTAAATGCAAGTATTTAAAAGAAAAATCGTAAAGAAAGATAGGTTGTTTCTTCACAGTTGCAAGTGGGRAGCTTAGTATGAGCATGAGTTCTGAGCTAGAGTAACACTGCCTCTGAGCAAAACTCTTCCTGTAGCCTTTAACTTATAACAATATTAATACAAATACACTGAGAGGCAGGTATTTATCCCCTGGTGTTTGAGCAGAAAGGATCGTTCTGGTAACCTGATGCGATTACCCCGCATATGGACTAGATGGTCTCTGAGACTGTTCCCTGAGGTCATCTCAGCATGGGACAAGTGAGTCAGATGCTGCTGCTGCTGCAGCTTTCCACCTTTGACAGCTTTAGCCTCCAGCTTGGGCTTCTGCCCAAAGAAGTGATGGAGTCACCATCCGTGGCAGTGTTCAAGAAACRTGTAAATGACGCACTCAGGGACATGGTTTCACGGGTATGGTGTTCTGGGGCTTATAGTTGTGGACTTGATGATCTTGAAGGTCTTTTCCAACCATAATGGTTCTATGATTCAATGACCTGTCGTACACCTAGAAATCAGGTCTCTTTTACATGTCTCAATGTGGTTATTGTAAATGATTCCAAAGCCATTTGAAGTCTTTCAGAAATCTTATCTAACTGTTGAAGCTGTGGTCTTCCTGCTTAGATGTCCTTCTTATGCTCCCTGGTGTGAAAGACTGCAGAGGAACTGAATGTGCAATAATCTCTTGGGAGAAGACATGTGATTACWAACTTACAGCAGTCACTATGGCTTTATGGCTTTTTTTCTTTAAAACCAAGTTAGCTGTATGCTGCGTAGYAGGAAAATAATGCAGTTTTTGAGAAAAATTTAAAGAATAAGTACTGTGTAGCATTCYTAAATAATGCATATGAAATCTGAGGACAAGGAATTAAAACAAAGTTTGGGATAAATATATTCTATGCATATATACAAGATACACAGTAGACACAACTAGTAGTGTTTATACACTGAGAAAGGTGTCTGAAAGATTTCAAGATGCACTTCTAGACACCTTTATGCCACTAGCAAATCACATTTACCCAGGAATCTAGTGTATTTTGCTAGATTATTGTTGCTCTTTGGAAGACTAAGGAGTTCACTAAAGAGCTTCCTCCTTTTTTTTTTTTTTTTTTTTTTTTTTTTTTTTTTTTTTTTTTTTTTTTTTTTTTTCCTCATTTTCTGGTCTTGGGAGAAAAATGGATAGTCCAATTTATTTTCTCTACTGATAACTGTAGCTATTTAAGTAATAAGAGCAGTCGGAAAATGCAGAAAGGAAACTGCCTGAATATCCACCATTTATGAACTTACAGTATCAAGTAGAAAAATCTTTGCACAAAACTGTGGTGTAATAAGATAGTAACAGTAAAAAGGAGAGCACAGGGGACGAGCAGCACCTCATCTCAGGACATAAACCTTCAGCGTGGGTGTAGAGAGTCTGGTCCCCAGGCTGAGATCCAGGATTGCTCTGCAGTGCAGTGGGGAAGCTGTCAGGAGAAGGAAGCTTGTATATGAATAACTTTACTTGGCAAAATCTTTCTTCAATATCAGTTTTCCACTACACTGAATTATGAAATGTCTATGGATACAACTGGAACTTTCTGTCTGGCTATGAATTATGTCATGACTGTGGCATAGCTCCATAAATGGGGAAAGTTAACTGTTTTCCTCATTTTTAGGTATAAGTTCCATTTCATAATAGCAATAAGACACAGCACACAGCTATTACATTTCTCAAGTGATTACAGTTGCTCAGTGTTTGGTCTCATGCCCTGAAAAAGTGTTAAGTTTCTCTATATGCAAAGAGCAACCATATACCTTCAGTCTGAGTGACCTACATTTAACTTAAGAGCAAAACAAGAAAGAGCAAATATATTTATCTTCCACGAGAGAGAGTATATAGTGTTTATTTTTCATATAGCAATCTGCATTACCTCCAGAAAATAAAAATTACCTCTGAGCTCTGCACATTCAGGTCTGATCCAAAGCTCATTGAACTAATGGGAGTTGGATCAGTCCCAGAGAGAGTGCTAGCAGTGTAAAACTGCAGGACATTCAAAGCAAAAGTCTCATAGTTTCAGAGCTGGTGTGTATCGCATAAATCAAAGTCAAGTGTACCTTAAACACATTTCAGAGTGCCTTTTTATTGTTGACAGATACTGTAAAACTTACTGTCTATGACTATAGTACTATGAGTATCTGAGCAGTTTCAGTTAGACCAAAAGAAATAAAATTGGTCTTTTGAAAGCTGAGCACACAATGAATACATCCATTCAATAGGACATCACAAAGTAGTGTGTACGGCCTATTGCTAAGAACTCACACATTTTTAGGAGTTTTCAGTTAAAATAAAATGCATACAAAGACACATAAGTCCTGTAGCATTGTATTAGCAGTCTACATTTAAATATCAAAAATGAATGATATATTACAGTGTTAAATGTACTGACATTCTTCATAGTAGTTTCTTTGAAACTCTGAGCACACCACAATGAGAAAATACATTTGTACTACTCTTTGAAAAGAAAAAAAGCAATCTAAAGTCCTTTGAAATGTGAAAGTTATTTGGAAACTTTTGATTTTCTTCTAAATAAACATTCAGTTGGAATGGCATATTTCCTTGGTTTGAATGAATTATATCTTCTTTACTAAAAAAAACATGCTCTGGTAATCTGTTGATTACAAAGCAATGTAAATGTCTTCCCAAAATTCCATAACCCTATTTTTTTAAAGATCCAARAATTTTTAAAGCTTTCAATGAAATCAAAATCCAACAGAAATATTTTTTTCTGTTCAATTGCAGCCAATAACCACATCGCAAAATTGTGGCCGACTCATAGCTGAGGAACCTGCTGTGGTCCCACAGGCTTCTCTGTTTATACAAATACTCCAGTATATAAATACTCATTTATTTTATATACACATGAATGCATATAATGTTTAAGTGGAAYGAGAATGCTAGACTAACTAAGCTGTAAAAGGCACATTCTTTTCACACTGCAAGTTGCAGCATGCAGGTTTAATATATGATGTTTAGTTTAGTGATATAACCCACTGAGTATTTTGTTGATTTTGGTAGAGTAATACCTAGAAAATGGATGCCTCAGCTGCCAGCATCCACTTCATGGGGTGATACAAGTTCGAAAGTAAACAAAAGAATCAAGGGAGTAGGTAAATATACCACTGGAACTGTAAAAAGAAAGTTAAAGCAGCAAACTAATAAGGAAATATTTAAGCTGTATGACCAGTTTTCTAAAATTTGTTATCCCCAAATGGCATCATACTGTATTTCACCACAGATTTCTTGGTGACCCTGGACTAGGAGCCCAAATAACAGAATACATTTTTGTTACATGGAAAGCTTGAAGGTGGGACATATCTACAGTGAAGGATTACTTACACCTCCTGCCTTCATAGTTTCCAGCAGTATTCAAGCTTTGCCATTAATTACTCCAGAAGGTTTTGGAAAGGGAAGGCAGCAATACTGTACTGATACTCGGCTGACAATATGATGGTGTGCATTTATGTGAGTCTTACAATAATTCTATTTTTCAAATAACTGTGGTCTAAAGATTGTGCCTCTAGATCCCCCCAGTCCTTTGCATTCTGAGGCATTCTGAGATTGTGTTGGATCAAAATAAGGCCTACAAATGGATATCATTCAGAACAATATGGTTCAAGTAGAAGAGTGTTTGAAATGAAACAAGAATTAACTTGAAAAATAGAATCTGAAAAACAAACAGGCTTATACCTGGATGAAGTAATTACCAATACTCAGGAATCTCATATCATTTTAACCCAGAGGCTAAAGGCCTATTTTTATTTGACTTTGTTTTTCCCAAATTATAAGATTGTTTCTGTTCTTTTTTCTCCTTTTATGAAATTACACTGAAAATACATTTACCAGATTTTGCTAGAAATTTTTGCTGAAGTTCTTCATCTACATTTTTTTTCCTTTGTCAGAGAAATGTGTGGAGTCAAATGGTAACTTCAGGCTCTAATTTTACACCTGTTAGAAAAACTGTTTGAATAAAGAAAGTTTGCCAAATGACACTTCAAATACCTGTATTCACTCCTTTATTTGTGGAGAGAAATCTTTAATCTGAATTACAACATTGCTCTGTCACTAATAACAAGCCAAGAAATATGTTTCCTGAAAAGACACTAATTTCAAAAGATCAAAAATTTCATTTTTCACTTTATCATTTTAGAAATGGCTATTATTTATTTATTTATTTTTAGTGAAGAGAGGAATCAATAAAGGCTATGAGACAAAACAGCAGTAAAATAATAGCAGAAATGTTCTGTTTCTATCACTCACATTTTAGTCCATTCAAATCCATCTCTTATTTAAGGGACCCTACTCTCTAGACTTTCTAACTAGTGAGAAAAAAAAAATAAAGTCATTCAGAAAGCATTCTCCACTGATTAGAGAGGGAGCTTAGGTTAATTACAGCCTTTTAGGCACTTCAGATACTTACAGGTAGAATGAATTAGTATCTTAGTTTTCTGAAGCTTGAATTATAATGMAACTCAGTTTCCTGGACCTGGATGGCTGTTATTATAATTCTAACCATCTAGGAAACTGTGAAGGGAGAAAAGTTTGAAATCATTAAGGTCTTTTGAACTGGAACTTGGAATACCAATATGTATTCGAGTAGGTAGTGCTGGATCCTTGCTTGAAGACAAACATGCATATTATTTTTCCCAAACCACTGAAGAGTTCACTCCTTTTTTTATAAAATGTCACTTCAGTGTTTTCTAGTTCCCTGGAAAATTTCTGTATCTGACAAGTAATGGTCATTGWATAACATAACAAAACATTTCTAAATGTTTAAGGTTGTGTTCCTTATCCATGGGCCAGATTATGTTTTTCTTTGCTTGCTTTTCCTCAACATCTGACTTATTTTTTTGCATGTTCCAGTTTCTACAGGATGATGAAGCAGCTGAAATTAGTGTGCTAATGAATGCACTAAATGAGCAGCTTAAGATCTACTCATGTTATTAAGTACAAGTGGAGTCTATAGCAGGTTTTTTTTTAAGTCTATCAAAATTATTGCATCAAAAAAATTCATCATGTTAACAATGGATGGTCTTTTAAACTTAGAATCACAGAATGGTTGAGGTTGGAAGGGACCTCTAGCAATCATCTAGCCCAACCCCCCTGCTCAAGCAGGGACACCTAAGGCATGTGGCACAGGGTGGCATCCAGGCAGGTTTTGAAGATCTCTAGAGAAGGAGACTCCACAACCTCCCTGGGCAGCCTGTTCCAGGGCTCTGTCACCCACACGGTAAAGAAGTTGTTCCTCATGTGCAGATGGAACTTGCTGTGTTTCAGCTTGTACCCATTACTCCTTCTCCGATCGCTGCCCACCACTGAGAAGAGTTTGCCCCCTCCTCCCTATCTTCTCCCTTCAGATACTTCAACATATTGATCAGATCTCCTCTTAGTTTTTATCTTCTCTAGGCTAAACAGGCCCAACTCATTCAGTCTTTCCTAATAAGATAGATGCTCCAGTCCCTTAATCGTGTTTGTCGCTCTACGCTGGACCCTCTCTAGAAGCTCCACATCCCTCTTAACACTAGGGAGCCCAGAACTGCACCCACTACTACAGGTGTGGCCTCATCAGAGCTGAGGAGAGGAGCAGGATCCCCTCCCTTGATCTGCTGTCAGCCCTCCTTCTGATACAGACTAGGATCCCATTGGCCTTCCTGGCCATGAGGGCACATTGCTGGCGCATGGTTAACTTGTTGTCAACCAAGAATTCCAGGTCCCCCTCCACTGAGCTGCTTTCCAGGCGGTCAATCCCTAATGTGTACTGGTGTATGGATTATTCCTCCCCAGGTGCAGGACCCTGCATTTGTCCTTGTTGAAACTCATATGGTTCCTCTCTGTTCAACTCTCCAACCTGTCTAGGTCCCTCTGAAAGACAAAACAACCCTYTGGAGTTTTGGCCACTCCATCCAGTTTGGTATTATCTGCAAACTTTCTCAGGATGGACTCAGTGCCCTCATCCAAATCACTGATGAACAAATGAAACAGCACTGGGCCCAGTACTGACCCCTGGGGGACAACACTGGCCACAGGCCTCCAATTGGACTCGGCCCCCTTTATAACCACTCTCCGAGTTCTGCCATCCAGCCAGTTCTCAATTCACTTCACTGTCCACCTGTCCAGTCCACACTTCCAGAGCTTTCCTATGAGGATATTATGAGAGATGGTGTCAAAAACCTTGCTGAAGTCAAGGAAGACAACATCCACATCTTTCCCATCGTCCATCCAGCCAGTCATCTCATTGCAGAAGGCTATCACGCTTATCAAACACCACATCCCCTTGGTGAATTCATGCTGACTACTGCTGATCATCGTTTCCTTGACATGCCTGGAGATGCTCTCTAGGATGAGCTGCTCCATCACCTTTCCAGGGACGGAGGTGAGACTGACCCGCCTGTAGTTTCCTGGCTCCTCCCTCTTCACCTTCTTGAAGACTGGAGTGATGTTGGCTCTTTTCCAGTCCTCCAGCACTTCCCCYGCTCTCCACGACCTCTCAAAGATGATGGAGAGCGGCTGAGAAAAAAACCCTGCCAGTTTCCCTGGCGCTCTTGGGGGCATCCCACTCGAGCCCATTGATTTATGGATGCCCAGTTTGTCTAAATAATCTCTAACCCAATCTTCCTCGACCAGTGGAAAGTCTTGCTCTCTCCTGGTTCTCTCTCTTAGATCCGGGCTTAGATCCCTAGCTCATAGGGATCAACCTTAGCAGTAAAGACAGGAGCAAAGAAGGCTTTTTGTAACTCTGCCTTCCTGCATCCTTAGTAACTCTGCATCCTTCATCACCAAGGCACCCTCCCCATTCAGCAGCAGACTAACATTTTCTCTAGTCTTCCTCTTGCTGCTGATGTATTTACAGAAGCCCTTCCTGTTGCCCCTGACATCTCTTGTTAACTGTAATTCCAGATGGACCTTGGCCTTCCTTGTTGCATCCCTGTGTTTTCTGACAATGTTCCTACAATCTTCTCGTATGGCCTGGTCCTTCTTCCGCATTATGTATGTACTCTTTTTCTCATTATATTTACCCAACAGCTCCTTGCCTATCCACACACATCTCCTGCCCGYCTTGCTCGACTTCTTTCTTGTAAGAATGTACAGATCCTGAGCTTGAAGAAAGTGGTGTTTGAATATTAGCCAACTCTCCTGGATCCCCTTTCCTTCTAGGACCCTGGCCYAGGGGATTCCTCCAATGAGCTCCCTTAAGAGGTCAAAGTTAGTTGTCCTAAAGTCCAAGGTTGCAATAATACTTATTGCCCAGCTTCCTCTATGCAGAATCATGAATTCTAACATCTCATGGTCACTGCAGCCAAGACTGCCCCTAACTCTTGCATTTCCAGTTAGTATCAGGTCTAGCAGTGCCCCTCCCCTTGTTGGCTGATCAAAAAGTTGCATCAAAAAGTTATCTGCAATGTTCTACAGGAACTTCCTGGACTGTCTATTCCTGGYTGTGTGATTATCCAAGCAGACATCAGGGTGGCTGAAGTCCCCCAGGTGGACCAGCAGCTGCCTRTAGAAGGCCTCATCCCCTTCCTCTTCCTGGTCAGGAGGTCTGTAGCAAACTCCTATGACAGTGTCACCCCTGCTGGTCTGCCCTTTAATCCTCACCCATAAGATCTTGACTTGCACTTCATCCTCTCCTATGCTGAGCTCCATACATCCAAGTTGGTCTCTCATGTAAAGAGCAACTCTGCCACCTCGCCTTCTTCACCTGTYCTTCCTGAAAAGCCTGAAACCATCAACGGCCACATTCCAGTCACGAGAGCTGTCTCACCATGCCTCAGTAATTGCAATCGCACACACATCTCCCGTTCCCCTTGTTTACTCCCCATGCTGCATGTGTTTACATAGAGGCATTTGAGTTGAATTCCCAATGTGCCTCTCATTTTAGTTGGGGCAGCTGCAACTTGACTGTATGAGACTTTGATGATTCTCTTATTTTGCTTTTTAGCCTCTCCAGAACTTAGAATAGTTATGAGATTTTCTAAACTTTTTTTTTTTTTTCTGATATGAGCTTTCTGCAGCTCAAATTTTTAAGAAGATTGTTACATTAATAATCGTTTACTGACATATTTAAAAATCTATAAATGGAATTTGCAAATCCCTTCCAAGTCCTACAGACCTCAACTAAGGATTATAACCCAGTCAAAGCACATCTGCTTTCTTGACTTAAGCAGGAGCTTCGGAACAGAACTGCTTTACTGAGTCATACCGAGATTCATCTAGCTCAATATCCTGTCTCCTGCGATGGCCAACAGCACATATCTAGGGGAAGAGTATAAAAAAGGTCTAAAGGTTTGCCTTTTCCTAGCTCTATCTAGATCGCAATCATCAGTTTAGCATTTTGTGAGTTTTTCATAGTGGCAAGTGGAACTAATTGCATATATGGTTGTTTTCGTGCAGTAATGATTTTGATCTGTGACCCATGCAACACAGCAGCTTGACAGCTGTCATTTGTGACAAGCATGTTCCGGCTTTTAAATTGGTTGGGCTGTTATTTAGCTCTTTCATTGCTAAGATTCTCTTTTCTTTGTTTAATAACCATTTATTCAGGATATCTAAGTAGGTGCTTATGATTCTTCAGTAGAACAGCAGAACCCTACCCAGGCTGAGTGTGCAGTTTGATGTGTTTTGCAAACGTGGGTACTGTAAGTTCACACAGCTGTAAAACTTGAGAATATCCTCCTGTGGCCTCCCACACTCACAGACACTTACCTTAGATCTCTTTGAGAGGTAGGGGCCACCACCGAAGGAAGGTGAGCATGTCACAGAGTGRGATTTATGAAATCAAGCCCCTAAGCAGACATGCATAGATTTTTATTTTCTCCCAACACCTGCAATCTTGAAGTGTAAGATGCTGTAAACCCTATTGCTATTCATACCAAAAGGGTTTCTATAACTCAGCAAGATCTACTACTTCTTTATTATTGCTGTTGTTTGTTAAGTGAGAAAACAAAGGCTGCTCAAAACTAATGCTTGAAACGAGGTAAGGGAGGTAACAAAAAAAACAATGAAAAAGATTAAATATTTGTTTTTAAAGGCAGCTGTGTAGAATATAATAGAGAATTTAATAAATGAAGAAAAAAACAAACTTCAAAATTCAAACCACGTAAAATATTTCTTTTTCCCTGAGTGTTGTTTATATCATTTGAATGTAAATTATAACTATATAAATCTTCATGCTACTATTCATCTGAATAGAAACACAAATGTTAATATTTGAAAACTGTTTGAAGTTTTTAAGCTTAATTGAAGTAAATGGCATGAGTTGAAGTGTTTTGCTTTTTTGAGGACCAGGTGTTGAGTTGTCGTGAAGGGAAGATATTAATTTTCTTTCCTGTTAAAATATGGTTATGTTGTCACATCATGCAACTTCTTATTCTCACCAATGTATTGTTTTCTGTATGTCTTGGGATTCATAGGTGGCAATTGTAGTGGTAATGTTAGATGAAGAAAAGGAACAGGGCTCCAGTGATTTTTACTTAGAAATAAGAATGTTCCCTCTTGGGTAGAGACATGAGGGAATCAAATGACTTCAGGAAAATACATAGGACAAAAAAGAATGTCTTAGTAGTTATTTTGAAAATGCAGTGTTTAACAGACAACAATAAGCACAGTTACTCAGGAAAAGTGTGATATCCAGAGTAGGTATTTTTGTTGCACAATTCAAAATAACATTACTATAAAAGTAGACAGTAACATGATTAAGTAAGGAAGCTGGAGGTATGGTGCTGTTAAAATTCAGTTCTTCCAAAAAAAATCACAAAATGAATAATTTGTCTCCCTTTTAACAGATGTTATCACAGGGAACTGTTCTCCTGAGAATTGGAGTTATGATTCTGTCCCTGACTTCTTTTGGATTACTTATGGAGAACAGGCAAGATATAAAACATGATTTTTTTTCTTTTCTTATTATGTGTTATTTATTGTCATATTGGAAAATCTGAAATATATCAAAAATTAAATTGATAACGAAGTGCAGATGCACTTTGCTATCCACACTGCTAGCTATTGACTAGAGTATGATGTATAGGTAGGCAATCCCTACAAGCAGAAGTGTTGCTGTAGCAATTAGTGGTCATATCTATGTTGTTCAGAGGAGAAAAGTTGGGTTACTCCTGTCCTGCCTTATGCTTGTGTACTTTGGACACCTATGTCTGGCTTCAGGATACTGGCCAGGCACTATGGGCTACAGACTCGGTCCCATGACAAGGACTATGTGTGTAGTCTGCCAGTCCCAGTAGGTGATTGATAGTGTCATAGGTGTCTGATAGTGTCCTAACAGACCTACTCATAGGTGTCTGATAGTGACTCATAGTGTCCTTAGCAGGTAAGAGTAGTCTCAAATTCGTGTGAAGTATAGTGTGCCTTAAAAGTTTTGTACTTGGTGGTCCCYGAAAAGCTCTCTGAAGACCTTCTCTAATCAGTATGGGTTCATACCTAAATGGATATCGAGGATTATGCCATCCCAATAGGAGAATGTTACTGAGGATGAGTTAGCCTAACATAAAATGAACCTTAGCTCTGATTGCCTACAGAGAAAGTATTTGCCCTGCGAAAAGAGAAACCTAGAATAGAATCTTCCTTGAGGACTGAAGTGGCAGTCCTTTAAGTCACACGTAGAATCCATTATATTTTAAGAAATAAATACCTTTCATGTGCCTGGGTGCAAAGATTTGTTTCAGAATAGGTGTAAATATGTGGGTGATGTTTATGATTCACTTTGGATACTAATGTGAATGAGTAAAAAATTACAGAACTAGACAAATGTAAAATGTATGCAGCTTTCATAATTACTGTCATTTCTGGAATTAAAAGACAATAGTTAAATATAGAGTTTGTGTGAGGGTATGTGTGTATTCTTACCTAAGCAAACTCAGTGTTGTAACTTCAAAGGCTCATGCTAAAAAAAAGAACTGTAAAGTGACTAGGCATAAGTGTAGGATATCATGGACTATTTATATTATCTCACATGTCATGAAATGAAAAAAATAAAAAAAGATATTAATCTGTATTGCCCCTTGTTTCTAGGCCTAAGGCTGGAATGTTGGAATTCATTCGCTGCTCGATCTTCTTATGTATATACAAACTTGGGTACTTAAGGAGCAATCTTTCTTTCTTGGACTATTCATATGAGGTAAGACATTTATTTCTAATCACCAGTGCTGAAGTTGCCTTTTGTCTTAAAAATAGAAAAAAAAAAAAAAATAAAGATCAAGAATTGTATATGTTAGTGGTGGATTCAAAATGGTTCCACTGACTTTAGGACAGTTGTATAATTTGTAGCAATTTTTGATCTTCCTAATTGGATATGCCTGATGCTGCTGCTGAGATCAGGCAACGGCAGAATGGAAAAATGCTTTATGCTAGTGTGAATCATATCTTTTTGTCTTTTTCTCTGTACAGGATATAATACTTTTTAGATATGATTCTAGTCAAAAAGTGTTCATATATATATGTATAAATATTATCAAAGCCTTAGTTTGCCTTCTTTTGTAAATTTGTTTAATTTTTTTTGTTTAAATTTGTCATTAAAATATGATCTTCTTTGCTGTCTCTAACTCTTCCTTACTTTATTCTGCTCTGCTGTCTACCATTTAGTGTTTTGTCCCTTATTTTACATTGGCTGGGTAGTCATCGTTAACAAGAAACAGGAACGGCTTGCTCACATTGTTTCCTTCAAAATTCTGAAGAATTAGGTGTCCTACACATCATTTGCTATCCCTCAGACCAGAATAGGTGAAGCTTCTAAATAATGCAAAAATGTCATTGATGAAGACTTGTTTTTTATCATAATTCAGGAAGTTTGTGCTGATGACCTTGAGGGGTTCCCCATCTTGATACAAAAGTTTGACCATCATGGTTTTTGCTCTCAATGTATTGAACACTTCCTGGTATTACAGTAGGACTGCTGTCAAGAATAGTAGTATTGTTATAATGGAATTTAGGATAACAATTCCTGTGCAAAGGGCAACTGATGGAGATAATCARCTCTAGTTGAAAAGTCTTCAGATGTAAACAGTAGACTTACTTAAAAATTACCTCTGATTACCACTCAAAACATTTATCTATCCTTCCCAGTTACATAGAAKGATGTAGGTAACTTTGAACATCTTGTGAGGTCTGTGTCTCTCGTATACAAAATTATCTTTTTTCTGCCACATTTTTTTCTTGGCATTTTTTATGTGCTTGCTTTTCAACTCCTTATCCTCCTTTATTCTGTTTCTCTTTTAAATCCACTTAGTTTTTTGAAAGGTATACATTAAACCATTTATTAGTCTTTCTCCCAACACACGTGGATGTGTTCCCTATCTTTTATATTCACCCAAATTTAATGTATCCATTTTGATCTACATCTTAATGTTATATTTTTCGTACTCCTAATCTATAATATGCTTAAATACACAATGGCACTATTCAATGCATCTATGATTTAACAAATAAATCTTTCTTAGTGTTCTTAAGTTAATGGTATGCCATGGAACAGATTGATAGAAAATTGTGAGACTCCTGTTTGTACATATGGTCTTTCTTGTGGTTGCATTTCCTGTATTCATTTCTCAGGAGTATTTTAAGAACTAGGAGATAAGATTTCAGAAGAATTGTTTGCAAGGCATTCTGACTAGTAAAATTAGGTGACCTAAACTCTGAATAAGTAAATTAGCCAAGCATGGGCTTTGCTAAAGGTGCAGTTTTGTAATCAGCTTAGACTGATCTGAGAGCAGGACTCTACAACATAAAATCAATCATATTACTTTAGTGCTGCCAGCAATTTTTCCTGTTCTTAGCCTTGCGTACCTACTTCTTTCTGCTATTTTAGTTAAGGTTTCTGCTATTTTAGGGAGTTAAAGTGGTTCATAGAAAGGTCTGACATTTGTCAGTTACTTCGTGCAAAGATCTCAGGGTGAAAACTAGGTGGAAAACGAAGAAAGGAGAGGGAGCTAAASAGTAATGAAGAAGAAAAGAGCAGTGGGAAGGAGGAAAGGAGCTAGCTTCCCTCATTTTGCTGTGAAATCAATTCAATTCTGTGTGTAAAAAGCAGCAGTTGTAGCAGGAGTACAGTCCTGCCCTCTACCTCCAGTCTGTCACATTAACAGCCCAGCTAATTTGGGTTAACTGGCTGGTTCAACACACTCAGCCAGAAAAGGTAACTTTTCCTTTGGATCAGTGRATTGATGCAACTTGCTATTAAGCTAGGAGGATTACTAGTGCTAAGGCAGAGAGAAGAGGAAGTAAAATGCAGGTGCAGGGTAAGAAAGAGGAACCACTGCTTTTTGATAAAGATGAAATCTTAGATTAATACAAGTGTCAACCACGCCCATGCTCTCATAGGAACAGCATTGTATCTATCAGTAGTCTGAAAATATATTTTAAAAAATGTATTAGTCTTGATTCCATTTGCAAATGATGTTATTTGTCCAGTYATTTAATGACATCGTTATCCCCACTTTTGCAAATGAGGTCCTTTCAGAAGTTAACTTCCTCAGGGATCTCACTCAGTGTTCCTTTCTTCTCCAAACAGGAGAATAAATTGAAGATATCACAGTCAGACAAGTGATCTTTCTTCTTATGAAGAGTGGAACGTTTCATTTTCTCCAGAATGTATATTTTATTCTTGGTACTGAGTGTATTTTATAGCCATGGTTTAGGCCAAAGAAACNTTTTTTTTTTTTTTTTTTTGGGATGCGGGCCAGGAAGAGAGGCAGGGGATGGAAGGAAGGAGTGAGTGAGATAATGTGTGGGGCAATTTTTGGGTTCTGTGAGAATGTTTTCTCAGGGTCAGGTTAGGTGACCTGTGGCATGGCTCTGCTGGTGTTTTCCTTAGAGGTGAGCTCTATCTGGGACCATTGACCCCAAGTAACTGGGCTGACAATTCCATCTTCACCACATAGCTTTAGGAGATTGCTTTGTAGCTTGGGTGGAGGTCACTCAACGTGTTGACAATAATGGCAGAGATATTATATTTGACTGCATGGAGACAGTGAATTGAGGAGAGTAAATAATAAACATTTTGTTTTGCATTTTTTTGAGGAGCTGAGCTGCCACATCCTATACTATTTAGTTTTCCACAAGCTGATTACCTCATGCCTGTGTAATGTGATGATCGTGTGTATTACTAAAGCTAAATCATTTTCTGTCAGACTAGTCTTGGAGTTTCCTAACCACCTGGCGGTAGTAGAAAACATTGCTCGTGTGTTCAGTTATGTGACAGTTCAGCAGGCACGATACGTAAAAATAAATCTGTAATGATGCTGCACCTCTTCAAAGTGTTTCCATTCAACTGCTTGGGTTTGGCGTCAGCCAACATATTTCATGAGCTGATTTTGGTCAAGCACTCTCTGTTATTTGACAGTAGTACTAATGAGGAGTAAGTAGAAGTGAGAGTCATTGACATGTTGTTGGAAGTCTTGTCTGAAGTATTTTCACCAGCCATTGCAGTGGTTGTAGCTCCATACTGAGAAGGGCTGTTAAACTCAATGACTGTGAATGAGGGAACAGGGGGAAGAAATATAGGTTTCTTTTTTTTTTTTTTTWAAAGGTGTACTTTTTATCTTTTTATCTTTGTCCTCACTAAAGGCACTGAAGGTAGAAACTTCATTGTAGTCAAAGTATTTATTTATTCCTCTAGAGTACCTACACTTTGTAGATGCAACTGGTTCAAAGAGAGTTGTAAACAGTAYGCTGCACTAAATGGAGCGCTTTTCTGTTTTTTCAGTGCAAATCTTTTATTTCTTACTAGTGGGCCAGATAATTTGTCTGGAGAGAATATATAATATCTCTTTATTAAAGAACTGATTTGCAGTGCTTTCTGTGTGCCACAGCAGTTCCTCTTAAAGTGATATATTGCCACACTGCTTATTCCTCCTTTCATCATACAAAGACTTGCTGTTACCTCACTTGTTTCTTAGTGTAATTTACCAGCATCAGAATACTGACTTATGAGTATTGACTTAAAACAAACATTTACTCATAAGGACTTATTTCCACATTGGTGATAGTTTTCTGCTCTGTAACATTTTTTCCTTGGTYGCTCATTATGATCATCTGTGCCACATTTCAAAGAGAAGTGTATCCCATATTTGGTTTCCATTAGGGTGAAAGCTCCGTGCCCTGTACTATGATTTACGACCTCAGCATTTATGCAGTCTCCGTGCCCTAACTAGATGGCTGGTGTATTTGAAATGTATTTTAGAAATGAAGCCGGAGATGGAAGGAAACTCTACCGCCTCAAGATAAAAAGCCTTGTCAACGCACATGGAATTAAACAAACACAAGTTGTAATCTCTATTTTCTGTGTTACCTTCATTCAAAAAACCCTACTGTACCATGCACTGCATCCCCTGGACTGGACTTTTAATATTCCTGACAACTGCCCTAAGGGGAATAATGTCCCTTAGAAAAAGTCACAGTAAAATCTGGCAGTAGATTAAGTTAGTTTCCACTTAGGTGTGACAGCAGAGTCATTACTGATTTTAGACTTAGCCAGTTTGAGAGTCGGCTTCACCACCGTCAACTAAAGACTATGATGTATCGTTCCAGATGCTCGGGCCAATTGACCGTAAAATTGCTCCGCATTTCTGGCAGAGCAGCCAAGATGGAGCTTTTAAAATCTCCACTCCCTCAGCTCAACACCCTCCCCCCTCTGCTTAAAAGCTGCTCATTATTCTTCTTCTGCCCGCTGATCTTTTAGCAAAAGAAAAACTTCTGGAATCAATTAGAAGTGTCTGCACTTGATGAGATTTGCACGTGAGTTCGGAATTGCGAGGCTTTGATAGTGTCAGCCAACAGCTGCAGTTTCAGGTGGTAGAACTGGAGAAGGAATTTTCCAGGGTTTATTTACAATCATAAAATAAAACAAAAATCAAGACAAGTTGGAAACCATCTACTGTGTCATTAAAATGAAGTCTGAATCGGATTATATATTTATTTTGTCTGAAAAAAAGTAAACTAGTGGTTTATTATCAGGATCTTTTCAATTATCTTGCAATTATTAAGCTGTATAGACTGGTTGTAATAAAATGCAAGCCATGGGCTGCTTGCTGTAGTTTTAGCTATAAAAGAGGCATCTGCTATTACTTTTGTCAGTTTAATTGCTTGACAAGACAAGAAGGTAGTCATACTTAATATAAATCAGAA